AACCCATGCGACTCAGACCCAGCCCCGGAATACCAGTTCTCTCAACGTCCCCCTGCCGGTATTTTCCTCTTGGAGGCCTCCGATTTACTAGCTAAAATTGAAATGAACCGTGCTGCATTTCAAATATTTCTTCCTGATTTTTTCCTTTCTCCCTGGAATCAAACCTTACCACGCCTGACAAAAATTAACTGATAGGGAGGGTCTTTAAAAGTAGGTGGAAGGGAGAATGGGTCTGGTGGGTGTCCTTCAGAGAAAACCCTAACCTCAACGGCAGCATCTCTGGCAGGCCTTTTGGTTAAAGAACCTAGAAATTAATGGCTGGGGAAATAGAAGGAGGTAGAGTAATTTCATGTTGGGGAGCAAAAGGTAAATTTGAACATATTCAACAAACTTTCCAGATAAGATGACCTGATGTTAAGAAGCAGTCCTCAATTTAGTTCTGTGCCATACATTCCAGGAAGCTCTCAATAAATTGATGTCGATGAGGATTATGATCTCATTGTTAAGTGTCTAACTTTTTTTTTTTAACAGCTCCAGTCTGGGGCATAATCTCTGACTTCCCTCTGTTACATCCTTGAATTTGACTTTTTATTTTATATTCTGGGGAAGTCTAAAAGCAAGGTGAATTTTCATGTTACAGAGATATTGAACTATATCTTGAAGTGCTACTACATGCTCTTATTGTCTCTGAATTACTATGTCTGAATGCATAATTCTGTTTCTGCAGTAATTTTGTTGTTTCTGAAATAAACAATCTGGAAGATTTGATTAAATGTACCTTTCCCTTAATGTTTGAATAATTACTCCCTCTTTTCATGCACTGTTATGGACACCTCATCCATCCATAATTAGGCTACCCATTTGAGATATGTGGAGGACTTCAACGGCTAAAAAAAAGAAAAGAAAAACAAAGTGAGTGTTACATTTCTAATCGAGTTCCAAGAAGTTATTTTCAGTCCTTAAAAAAAAAAGTGCTGGATCTGTGAATCTGAGTTGCTCTGTCTGATGTCCCAACAGATTTAAAGCACCAATCATTAAACGGAAGCCCCAGTATACACCACGAGATAAACTTCTGTAACCACAGTGAAAGCAGTCTTTGTGAATTCAGGTAGCCCTATCTGTGTTCCCCAGTCTCATCTTTAAAGCTGAGATCAGCTCCTACTGGACACTTCGGAACCCTAAAGGCGTTTGCGGCACGGGCCAGTAAACTCATCCTCCCCTCCCTTACACAATTTCTTGCTGGCCACCACCATTCCCTCTGTTTCCCTGCGTAGCCCCCACCTTCTCCTTTCCCGTTCAATTGTTCTCCCACCCTCCCAATTAATGCGGGACATATGTTATCCACAGGCATCAGGGCAGTTGGAGAGGCTCAGCCAGCCCGACTTGTTGCTCAATTGCATCGCCTCATCAAAAGCTGCCTGGCTTTCTTCAGCCTTATGGGCCGCGATGTGAACAACAATGCCCTGTCCCTCTCACTTCAAAAGCGGCGATCAGGGGAAAGGCTATCCCAGAGAATTTTTTTCTCCTTAGCTTTTCATTCCGGGTTTACATCCCCCCCCCCAACTCCTTGTCCTGGGGGGGGGGAAGAGAAGGAAAAAGGAAAAAAAAAGTAGCAGCCACTACAGGGCTCGGGGAAGCCTAATGCCCTTTGATGGGGATTGAATTCATTATCTCCAATAAACCAATTGTGCTTGGCCAACGAAAAGAGCAAAGTAATACTCCCTAGCCCCGGCCTGAGAGGGAGAGGGAGAGTGCAGGAGGCCTGCACACAGGGGGTGATGATGGGAGTTTCTTAAAGACAGCTTGGGGAGGATGAAGTGCACACCTCCCCCACCTCTGAGGACGGACCAGGAAGCTCTATCCAGCACCTTAACACCGCACCAGGAGCATGGGTGTGTCTCTGGCCAGTCCGAGGAGGCGGCCTCTCTTACTCTCTTCCCCAAGCTTGTTGAGCTGGTCAGGCTTTTGCTCCTAACTAAATGGAAGAGGAGACCAAGAAGGAAAGCTTTAATTTATGCATTATTTTTATTTCATATATTTGCCCCCAAGCCCACCCCCATTTCCTCTCTCTTTTGCAGACTGTGCAACCAAGCAAGGCAAGCAGGGTGTTTACTCTTCCTCCTTGTCTCCAACTGCTGAACGGTTCCCACGTCTCTGGGTTCCAGCCTCTAAGAGGGCGCTAGTGACAAATCCTGTCCTCTCTGGGTGCCTGCAACCGATCCCCCGGACCCTACCCCCAGGGCTACAGCTGAACTATCTTCTTTGCCACTTGACCTGGCATTATTAACACCTATAAACAAGCCCTAAAACATCCTCCCTCCAAGCATTCCAGCCTTCTACTCTCTTCCCTCACTCTGAACCTCTCCCAACTACAGTTAACCACCTCTCTCTCCCTCACAGTTCAAAGCAAGAGAGCTATCTCCTACTGAACTAATCACAACATCAAATACCGGAGTCCAACTCTATTAGTTCTATGGTACTGTTAGCCCCTTGCCCCTCCCAAAGTTCTGCTTTCCGTTTTGATCTCTCAAATTATGGGTAAGGTGAATGAAAAGAATTGGCTAAGTCGAATTTGACAAAAATGCTCCCATCTCAGAAAATTTGCCTCTTCCCCCCTACCCGACCACAGAACCTTTTGATTCTGGAACAGAAATGAAAAATTAGAGCGTTAGCCAACATGTACTTGAATCTTGTATCCCCCCACTCTCAGTTTTGGTCAAAAAAGGATCCTTCACTATGCCTCTCTAGAGCACTTTATTAAATACTCATTTTATGCTCCACTCCTACAACACCATTTTCTTCTTAACCAATACTTGGATCAAAAAGCAAACAAATCTTCTATCTAGCAGCTTTTTATCTAACATCCTTTCATAGAGAATTATCAGAGAAACAAAGTTAGAAACAAAAAGAATGACTCTTTACTTACACTACTTTTAATACTCTTTTAATACTTATGGAATGGTATTTGAAATGTAACGTTATGGACTACACATTTCTCATAGATTGGTATTAGCCTTTCTAACCTTAAATAGACATATTCATCTTCTTCAGAGAAAGGCCTAACAGTTCGTAAAAATGCAAAGGGATATGTTGAGTAGGTTTTACCAAAGCAAAAATAAATAAATAAGTTAGTGATCTGATTTTGTCTAAACCAACAGGAGCTTTTCAAACTCACGGTTTTTTAGCTATGCTCATCAGGCCATGTGGGGTGCTTAATTCTCTTCAGTATTAAAGGGAATTACTTTAGCAAATTCTTTCCATTGAAATGAAATGGATACACTTCAGTTTTTAGGCTTAGGCATTTGTGAAAAGAAAAAAAATCTTTCACTGTAGTAGGTAAGATCAAAGGGAATGATCAAACTTTTTTTTCCTGTATATAGGTGAATACAATTTATGATTTGAAATTCCTATATCAAAATTTATTCAATGATTCTTATTTTTAAATTTTCCCTTTGAAGGATATTTTTAAAAATATTTTACTAGAAATGCCCTCAGCCTTTCATAAACATCTTTGTAGGATGGAAAAAATGTTCTTTATACTAGTCATAAAACCCCAGGTCCTTTTGGAATGCATAGAATACATTACTCCCCCTCCCTTTTTCATCCTTCTTCCCCCCCCCTTTCTTTTTTCTTGTTGAACAGTAGAGGTGGATAGATCCTGGTGTCCCAAATCAAGTCCATTTTGTAGACACCTCTGCTTTGATTAAATCAATTGACTGCACCAAATCGATTTTTAATTTCTGCCCAAATTGTGGTACAAGTTCACAAGTTTTCCACCTATGGTAGGTTGCTATGCATCCGTTGCATATATTATTTCATACTTAGAGATACTTGGGAAAGTTGGCAATAAATATTCAATGGCATAAAGACAAAAGCTATCCACATGACTTACCTGTGTAGATTATCTACACAAGTGTAATTAGATTCCAGCATCACATCTACGATGAAAAGATGTCAGCCTAATATATTTATCTATCTGGCTAATGACTTAAACACTTACATGGTACTAATTCTCTCATAAACACAATTCCTTTTGCAATGTCATGAATACTTGGGGAAGAAAAAACCCACTATTGTAAGTATTAGGGATTTCCTGAGTTTCAATATGTAGGTTTTGAAAATTCATTAAATTGCCATTTATCCACCAGACTGTATAGGGTATTTTGAGGATATGCTCTTTTATCCCATAAGTAATTTGTATTGTGCAATAGCAGAAATACAAAATTTTGCCTTCAGGTGAGGAATTTACCTCAGGATGGATAAATTCCCAATAAATAAAAATCATATTTTCCTATAGATGTCTCTCTATATAAAATGGCCAAAAAAATTAAAAGAAAGAGAAAATATTAAACACTTGAGAAGAATTGAGGAATCAGTGTCTTTTAAAATTTCTACCCCAAAGCAAAGCATATTTAAATGTCATTAAGGTTCACTGAATAATAGAACCATAGAAAATAGAGATGGAATGTCTTCTAGTCCATCCACCTGCAGGATTAGTGCAGGATTATTCTCCACAGAATATTTTCTAGCCTTGTCCAGTCTAGATTTAAATGTCAAGAGCAGCAGGATTTTCACCTCTTCAGAGGGGAGACTAATAGATCTATGTTATATAGCCCTACCTATTTCTCTATCATCTATCCCCATACTAAAAGACAATTTATGCTTACAATAAAATAGAATTTACTGAATGAATATTTTCCTTAATATTAAACCTAATAATTTCTTTCATTTTGAGTATGCTCTGAAACCATTTGTCACATGTGTTTATCTACTTTAGACATCTAAATTCATGATTCTTTTATTTTTCACCTATAGTCAATTAAAAATACATTTTCATTTAATTGATTTATTTTATTATAGTGCCCTATGACAAAATGACCAAATTCAGAAATTTATTCACAGATCTCCTATTAATGGAATACCTGTGTGGGAGCAGTGGGAGAGGGAAGAAAGGGAAAAGGGGAAATAGAATATGAGGCAAGAGTGAGGTGATTACAAAGTTGAGTAGAGTTTTTTAAAACATCAACTATAGATTTTCTCTAGGGTCGTAAGAATCAGACACAAGATTTATTCCACAAGCATGAAGCTTTTTTGACGCTTAAAAGTATTTCGAAGAAATTTTATGCAACCATAAAAATTTGTCTTTGTAGCTGCTTATAAGAAATATTTTTGTGTGTTAACATAAAAGAAAAAAGATGCATTGCCATTCTATTGGGCATATTATAGTGCATTTATTACAAACATGACAGATAACAAGGATGGTAGGTTTTCATGTACTATTGTATAAAAATATTTAAGGAGTGATCTATATTGTATTATAGTTGTAGACTTGCATTACAGTTATTTAAGCAAATCTTACTTTAAGCCCCCAAAATGACCTAACATTGCTGATAAGGTAGAAAGAATTTTTAAAATATTTAAAAGGAGACAACTGTTTGGTATCCTTATTTATAAGAAAATTGAAACAAGAAATTTACACTAAGGTTTAAAACCAAGGTTGGAACTAAAATTGAGTTTCCAGGCTTCCAGGCCTTTATTTTAACTGCTAAGTCATGATGTGTGACTTTTAGTAAACCGAAGACATACAGGACTATGCCATTCTATAGGTTAAGCTCACCAGACCTTTTTATCTGTTAAGTTACAGTCTCTGTCCTGAATCAGACAAAAAGGAAAACAAACACTTATTTAATGTGATCAACAATCCATACTTTGGCTATGGGTATCATAGGAAACATCAACAGATTTGATCTGTCAGGGGCACCGGATTGTGTCTTCATTAGAAATAGCAGAAGCCGATGAGATACAATTACCTTGGGGGGGGGGAAATCCTATTACTTAAATTATCTTTATCTACTAAAATAGAAAAACAAAAAAACAAAAAAGCCCTGAAGGACAAAAAACTGGAATTGTTACATATTGAGACTTTCTTAAAGACATTTTTATTTCTTTGAAATAGTAATACAATTGGCAGACTTTTTATGTCTATGATTTCATATAATGTAAAGTTGCATAGGTGCTTGTTTTCCCATAAGTGCCATATCTGGGTCCCTTTCAAATGGAAAGGGCAATCAAGTCTATACTTGATTCAGATGATATGTGAGGTGACACTAAGTTTTATTTGTGTACAAGTATTAGAATAATAGCATTTGAACTTAGATAGGGATGTTAGAAATCATCCTACCTCCTACATTATACAAAAGCAAAATCAGTATGACACTTGCCAAGTGACTCGATCAAGGTCATACAAATATTGAGTGACAGAACTGGCTTTTAAACCAAGGTCATCTGACACCAAACCCAGTGATATTTCTATCACACACACCCACACCCCCCCCCCACAGAAAACAAAACGCCTTTGTAAATGCTGCATCTCAAAATTCCCCTAAGAAGGATGTCTATTTCTCAAGTAACCTTAACTATATATTTTAAACTAACTTTAGATTCATTTAAAATTCTTACTGCAAAATTATTTCTGCTCATGGAAGAAACAGTGTTTTCAAAGCAAAATATTAAACACAAGAGTTCTTCATTCCTCACAGCAGTTTAGAGCTTCTTTAAGTGATATATCATTCCTTTCTGTATCTGCATTTGTTTCAGCAGCAAGACGACTAGAAGGGAGGGCAGAATGCTCAGTCAGGAAACCTAAAAAGAGGGAGAAGACAGTGATGTACTTTAGGACTACACTCAAGATCTCTGGTGTGAAAATGTTTTAGGATGAAGGGGAGGGACAAGGCAAAATGGAAACCACATTAACACAAAATAGGAAATTTATTTCAGAATTCAGAAGAATAAATCTGTTTACAAGAAGAAAGATTTTGCCAGGGAGAAACTGGGGGAAATAACTTAAAATCATTGAATAGGAGAATGAAGAAAGGAATGGAAAGAGGAAAAACTACAACAGCAGAAGCAGCAGCAGGTGTTGGATAATGTGTAGACACATGGACAGAGGGATTGAAGGATTGAGAGATGGGGCACAGTCAAATTAGTGGCTGGAGAGATCTAGTCAGAATGTACTGAGGAAAGACAAGGAGTGAAAAGATTTGGTGTCGTCATAGCAACGGACTCAGCCCTGCTCCCCCTGAAGCCCATTCATCTCTGAGCTGCCGGAACACGTTTTTAATTAAAGCGTATAAAAAGTTGTTTTGTAAGGACTTCTCATCCGATTGGTTTCAAAATGGTTAATCAGGCTTCATCTCCTTTTGATGCTCAGAAGAGCATGGGATGCAGCATGTACAGAAACTGCTGCTATGGCTGTGGGAGTTATCTCTCAATCACACCTAATACCAGGAGAGGGAATGCATCTAGTTAGTTAGTTATACATAAACACTAGGGTTAAAACTAAGGTGGGGGTTGGGGAGTAGATTTTGTAGATTCCCTGGCTTTGACAGAATTCATTCCTTAACTTATCCGGCTAGGAGTATTTGCTATAACTGGCTCACAAATTTAACTTTAGAAGCATCAAGATTTTTCCTTGGAAGATATTACACCAAAACTTAAGAACTAAGGCTCCAATTATTTTGGTCAAATACTACTCAACTTAAGTATGCTTATTGTAAGAAAAGATTTGCTGCGCTATTGCTATAGAGACTAACCAATAACTTACATAATTTTGTTTGGGAAGATGAATGGATTCTCATCTCCAAATCCTCCACAATTTCATCATATGTATACGCACTTCTATATGTACACACATACATATCTACACATATATGTATATATGCATACATATCACTAGAATTTTGTCCCTTAAAAGGAAGGACACACTTCTAACAAGAGGCATCCTGAACTTTTTCCACTCTCTTTGAATCTTCCCTCTCAGTCTGGGAAAATAGCGTCAATCTCAATTGCACCTAGAGAATTGAGACCATCATTTGCCAGCTTTCTTATTGTATCTCTGTGTCTATACCTATCTTCTTTTCCTTTCAGAGGAATCAATAATCCAGGGAGGGAGTGGGAAGAAGAAGACTTCAGAGAGAAACCACTGCTAGGCAGGCTACTCCTTAGGGAGAAAGGAGGGTAGTGTAGGGAGTGGAGAGAAGGGAGTAGGCCAGGTTAGGAAAGGCCTCATCCCCAGATGAGTTTGGGAAGGCCTTGAGGGAAGGGAAGGAAAGGAATCTAAGAGGAAAAAGAACAAAGGAGGAAGGGAACAAGAATTTATTAAAGCAATCCTGAGATGGGTGCTACTATGATTCTCATTTTATAGGTGAGGGAACTAAGGCAGTTAGAAGTTAAGTCCAGGGTCACATAGCTAATTAAGCTAGTAAAGTGTCTGAGGCTGGATTTGAACTCAGATCTTCCTGACTCCAAGCTTAGCTAACCCTCTCTTGAGATTCCACCTATATTGCTTGTGGCCTTCATATTCACTGTACTACAGGAGATTTTCATGAAATCTGTGGTCAAATGCTGTCTCCAGCTTGTGACCCTACAGTACAGTTATGGAGTATCAACTTCCTAGACTCTAGGAGGATATGGGGGTAAGATTAATGAGGGGGAGGACACAATCATCTTCCTCAGCCCTGGGATATGTAGCAGAGAGCCAGCTGGCCCTGGGAAAGGGGCAGAAGGGTAACAAGTTAGGGCTTAGGGAAAGGAGAAAGGGTGGTTGCACTGTGAATGTGGGTCAGAGGGCCATTGGAAAAGGAAGTGTGCCCTCTAACTTTCAGTGCACGAGTGAAAACCTCAATTGTACCTGTCCTAGCCACTTATCACTTTGTGTTCTTTTTTCCAATTTCAGTGGAAAAATGCCTTCCATGTCTTGCCTCCAAGACTAATTTTACTTGTGGACTTCTTCCTATCATCCTCTGTTTCAACTTTATTGCCTATTTTTCTGGTATTTTCAATCTCTGTCTTTCTTGTAGTTCTTTTCCTTCTACCTTCAAATACAATCACTTTGTCTTAAAACACATACACACGCACACACTTTGTGAATAAATTCTATTGCTCTTTCTAATTATTTCTCTTCTTATTGTTAAACTCAAATGAAAAATCTAGAGATCAGAACCTGAGAGGCAGAGGCAGCAGAAGATATGTGTTTCTGAGGATTCAGAGATTAGGAATGAGTGTTGTGTCTTCTGAACGTGCTTCATCCCCTGACATCTTTGGATAAGTCTATGAGTCTATGAATCTAGCCCCAAGGGACCCAGTCACCACCTTAATCATCTGTCTTGGTGTTGTATTTCTTAGTTCCTAGGTTTTTAACTGGAAGATAACTTATAAGTCAACTAGTCTAATCCAATTATTTTATAAATAAGGAAACTGAGGCTTAAACGATGTTGCTAACTGTTTAGATATCTTCACTTGGATCAGCATCTCAAATTCAACCTGTTTGAAACTGAACTTATCATATAATAAAGAGGAGGATGGACTTTCATTGATAAAGGGAGCTTCCAGATAAGGAAACTCTCCAACTTATTGTCTTACAGCTAAGATTTTTTTTTTTGAGGCAACTGGGGTTAAGTGATTTGCCCAAGGTCACATCACTAGTAAGAGGCTGGATTTGAACTCAAGTCCTCCTGATTCCAGGGCCAGAGCTAATATTCTTAACCAGAAAGTCCATGGAAAGATTTCAAGGGTTCTGTGAATTTGAATGGGAGACAAACTTACACCGTATTTTCACTAATCTCCATTGGAATATGGGATTTCCTTCAATTATTAATATGTCCGTAGACTTTATTCTGAGAAGAGTTCTATAATTTTTACAACACTGCCAAAAGGGTCTATGACACAAACATAGGTTAAAGATCCATGTGACAGATGCCTTGAGCACTAAAAAATTAATTGACTCCCACAGTTAAACAGATGATATTTGTCAGACTTGGGCCCAGATCTTCCTGATTGTAAGCCCAGCTATCTGGCACTATGCCATGCTGCCTCTCAATTAGCCAATTTTATTTCACCCCAAAACTCCTTCCTCTTTCAAACTTACATAATTTTTCAGAAAACATACTTCTTGTCACTATCTTCACAACTTCAGAGGTGTCCTTGACTCTTTAATTTCTTTGACCCCCACATATCCAATCACATCACTGCATTTCTCAAATCCATTTACTTTTCTTCACTCATATTGTCACAAACCCAGTCTAGGTCTCCATTATTTCTTACCTTAATTGTTGGGGAGAAAACCCCTCCTAATTAGCCATCCAATATCTAGTTTCTCTCTACTTCAGTTCATGGCCTACATGCTGCCAAATTAACATTCCTACAAGTTTGACCAGTGTCATGCTCATGGGCTCCCTGTTGCCTTGAAGACAAAATACAAATGCCTCAAACTAAAATTTTAGGTCACTCACTTCCTGTTTTTCTGTCTATCTTTCCAGATTATTTCCTATTATTCTGTTCTATTCTATTCCTATTATACATGCCATTTCCTTCTCTATGCCTTTGCAAAATTTCCCCAATGCCTAGAATTCACTGCTTTTTCACCTCCACTTTTTGAGTCTGTAGCTTCTTTCAGGATTTGGCTCAGGAGTAACATCTTATAGGAAGCTTTTCCTGTTCACCATTTCTATATAATTATCATCCAGTAGAATGTAAGTCCTTTGGGGAAAGAATAGTTTCATTTTTCTCTTTCTATTCCCAGCACCTAGCACAATCTCTTGCATATAGCAGTTATTTATGAATTGATTTGATTTATGTCCATTATTTTCACTCTTTATCAACAATCTTTCCTTAATCCCTTGCAATATTCTCTTCTTATTGAAGTCAAAAGGGAACTTTTCATCACCTCACAGAATCACTGATTTTGAGAATTGTCAGGAACCTTGGTGATCATCTAGTTCAACCTATAAATGAAAAAAACTCTCATTATAACATGACAGACAAATGGTCCTCTAAACCACTTTTGAAAGACCTCTAAGAGAAAAAATCCACTAGTTCTGATGCAACCTATTCCATTTTGGGATAGCTCTAATCGTTAGGAAGGTTTTCTGACACTAAGCCTACTTGTCTCTCTTTGTATCATATCTTTGATATTCGATTCTGCATTCTGGGACCAAACAGAATACAGACAGGGATAGGGACTTATCAATACCCTTCCTAAAATGTGCACGCAAAATTGAAAACAATACTCTAATGTACAGTGTATCCCAGTATAACATGGTGGTACAATCACTACCTTATTCCTGGAACTTCTGCCTTTTTCAAAGTAGCCCAACATAGCACTAAACTTTTTTAGCTGCCACATCACATTGCTGACTCACAGTGAAATTGTTATCAACCAAGATCCCCAGAAACTCTTGAGACAAACTATTGTCTAATCATGCCTCCACCATTTTGTATTTGTGAAATAGATAGTGGGTTGTTTTTTTTTTTTTGCCCCGTTGTAAGGATTATATTTATCCCTATTGGATTTCAGATTTAACCCAATGTTCAAGTCTGTCAAGATTTTTTTTTTTTGATTCACACCCCTGTAGTTTTTGCTTTCTAGGTTTCTCTTGCCTTTTATTTTTGTGTTTAAAGATTCTACTTAGCTCTGATCTTTTCATCAGGAATTCTTCAAAGTTCTCTATTCTATTAAAGATAATTTTTTCTGTAGTAGGATTATGTTCAGTTTCATGCTATAAATTCTTTGTTCTAAACATTTTTCTTTTGCCTTTTGTAATATCATATTGAAAGATTTCTTTTTATTCTTACTCTTGTGTGATTCTGACTTGGTTCCTTGGTACTTGAATTCTTTCTTTCAGGCTTCTTGCAGTGTTTTTTCTTTCTTCTGGAAATTGAATTTTGTCTCATACTACTGATGGTTTTCAATTTAGGATTTCTTTCAGGAGATAGTAGATTCTTTCTATTTTCACTTCATACTCTGCATTCATTTTTCACATATGCAGATTTTTTTTGTTTAGTCATGGCTTTCAAGAAGTCTAGAAATTTTCCAATTTTATCTCCTCAACCTCTTTTCTTTAGGTCAGTTATTTTTAATAGTCTATTCCTTGCATCTTTTTTCTAATTAATGACTGGATAATTAGAACATTGCCCTGCTTACCTGTGTCCTCTTTTGAAACTCCTTATACTATTATCCAATGGATAATTGGGGGCAGGGGGGAGATGTGAGGAATCTACTCTCAGAAACAACTGACCTAAACCCCCCCAACAGTTTGAGGAGATATAATTGAAAAATCTTCTAATATAATTTCATAGAATCATTGAATTCTATTCAACTTTCCGAATTGAATTCTGAATTGAATTCTGCTGTATTCTGTTTTTCATGAAGCTCATTACTTGGATCTTGTTTTCCATTTCTCTTCTGAGCTGTTTAATCTCCTTCAAATTTTTTCTTCAACAGTTCTAATTTCATTTAAAAAAATAAATCTCATGCGATTTCTTTTATCTATTCTTCTAATCCTTGTAGCCAAGTCATTCTTTATTTTTGTCCTCAAGATTTACTTACACTTATTGTAAATTCATTCTTTTCTGTTTCCTCATGTCTCCCGAATAATTTCTTAAATTCTGACTTTGTGTCAGATTTGAGCTCTCTTTCCTTCTGCAGCCTTTTACAGGATGGGCCTACTTTGTCCTCCATTCAGTTCGAATGCACTGCTATGACTCTGCAATAGTTCTGGGTGGAGTGGTTGGGACCAAGTTCTACCCCCTGCCAAGGTCTCTGGCTTCAGTCTACATCTCCAGGTAGCACAACATTGGTGTTGGCCACGGCCCTGTGTCTGTCTTCTTCAGCAACTAGAAATTTATGAAATGTTCTATGAAAAATTTTGCTAAGATCTAGGTAAATTATATTTAAAATATTAATGACAATGGTTCAGTTAACACATCAGTCAGTCCTTTCACATCCCAGGGATGTAGTTAAGTTGGGCCAGATGACTTGAATATATGAAGGACAACCAATTGCTCTTTTATATTCACTCTACTTTTATTTTTGGTATCAATTCTCTGTTAGCCATTTTGGTTTTGTCATTAAAAAAATCTACTTGAGAGAGAAAACAGAAGCAAAAAAAAAAGAATTAAACAGAACTGTTTTCTGTCTGTTGTCAGTAATCATCATCCTATCCACCCCAAGCAAAGGTCTTATCTATCTTTAATTCTTAGTTTTATTTAAATACAGCATTTTTTTAAAAAAAAAGACCAATCTCTTTTTTCTATCCATATCTAGCTAAATTTGGCTCATTCTGTTTTAGCATTCCTCACTCTTTTTATATTTTATTTATTAATTTTTTGAAATTCTGAACTTAGGAAGTATCAAATAAGATGAGTATTTCCATATACAAAATAGAATAGAAAAAAAAATTATACATGTAGATGTGAATGTGTACTAAAAAAGCTTGTTTTTTTTTTCTTTTTGAGCATATGTAAGAGCTCTTCTGGTAAGGCTGGATCAGTTGCCTTCAAGGAGGCCTAAGTTGATGAAGATTATGGGAGTTCTATTTTCCAAGCTTGAGCATGAGGATTTTTATCTTAGGATCAGAAATGAAGGGTGCGTTTTCCAGAACATTGAGCACAGGAGAAGTTTTTAAAATTTCTCTGGAGAGAGTCAGGGGAGGAGTCAGAGAGAGAATCCTTAGAGAATGGCAGCAGAAGATGCTGACTCTTCCCTGGAGATTTAGAAGCCTCAGAGGAGCTAGAATCTTTTTCTTTTCCTGACTTGTAGTTTGGCTTAGTAAAAGTAGAGTGACCGAATTCTGGCTCTTTGAAGAAACTGCTAGGACAATGGTGAATCTGCTCCATTCTCTACTTCTCCCTTTGTTCTATTATCCCAAAGGCAAGGTTGATTGCTAAAGATTTCTTCGCTATTTAAACATTTTGCCGACTGGTTCTTTACTCAAAGTAAAGATAATTAATTATAAAGGCTTTCTCAGTTTGTATTCTTGTTCTAGAGACTGAGATAGGGAAGGAAAACTTGTGCATGTTTAAGGACCTACTATTCTAATGGCTGAGAGATTATGATGTCAGTTTAGTGATCAATTGATTGACTAGGGGCTTGAATCATTTTATGAATATCATTTGAAATTCGTATTTAATGTTTTTTTTTAAAACTTTGAGAAAAATGAAGCCATTTGGAACTAGGACCTTCTACCTATCCCTAAGCTAAAATCCTCTTGAGCTAATATTGTTATTTCCAAGCAGATTAGCCACTTTGTGGTTTTTCTCCACCCATAAGAGAGAAGGGGAGAGGAGTAGAGATAGCAAAAGTGGGTCATGCCCTGAGCCAGCTACAATGACCCCTTCTGAACAACATATATACCAAATTCAACATGATGTTTTCAAGACTGCCCTGCCTGCCTGCCTGTGTTTCTAACAGTTGTTTTTTTAATGCTTCAATGACCCTCTTTTCTAATTCTTCTTCTTAAAAAAAAAGATAATCATATCATTAACCTTCCTCGTCCTTCACAGCAATCCCCACCCCACATCAAAAAACATATGCATAGTCAAACAAACAAATCTTCACATTAAACTTGTCTAGAAATGTAGGTCTCATTCTTCACTTTGAGTTGATCTGTCATCATTCTCTGGGTCATGCTTACTTCACTCTATATCAATTCATACAAATATCCCCAAGTTTGTCTGAAACGGCTTTTTCTTCATCACTCACAGCATAACAATATTCTATTATCTTTATATACCATAATTTGTTGTCATTTCCCCATTTGATGGTCACTGCCTTTTCAGTTCTTTGCCACCAGAGTGATTTCAATGAATATTATTGTACAAGTGGGTCTTTTTCCTCTTTTAAAAAAAATCCCTTTAGGTGTATCTAATAATAGTATTGATGAGTTAGTGAGTATGCATAGTTTTGCGACTTTTGGGGCAGTGTTCAAAATTGCTTTCCATAATGGCTGGACCAATTCTCAGCTCTGGCAATATTGTATTAGTGTGCTTGTTTTCCCAGCATTTTCATCTTCCTTTTTTTTTTTTTGCCTTTATTTCTCTAATTGTTAAAAATTATTAAAAATTGGAGAACCTTATATGCCTATTGATAGCTTGTATTTCTTACTTTGAGAACTGTCTATGTATTTTGACCACTTACATTTTAGGTAATAGCTCTCATTCTTATAATTTTGAATGAGTTCCTTATATATCTTGGCTATCAGACATTTATTAGTTAAAACTGGCATCAAGGGTTTTTTTTTAACTCCACAGTTAACTATTTGCCTTCTAATCTTAATTCATTGTTATTTGTACTTAAATTTTGTGTAATCAAAATTGTCCATTTCATCTCCTGTGATTCTGTCTCTTACTTGGTTATGAACTCCCAGAGTGAAGCTTGCTGCATCCTCAGGATTCCAGTGTACCTCTGAGTGACAATGGAATTAATTTTTCTAATGATGTCAGCCTGAGTCTCTATTCTGGTGTACTCACCTAACCGCTAGTCATCAATGATTAATGTCCCAGTTCCATTCAGCCAATTAACATAAAAAGAGGCATTTACAGCAAAGATATTAAAACTTAAAACTGCACTAAGACTTTTGGGATACCTTCTATAAGGAAAACAGAAGTACTAACATTTTCCCTCAATACCTGGGCCAAGGGGAGGAGAAAACATATTCTCTCCTATACCACCCTGATCTCTGGAGAGAATAGCCTTGCAACTAAGGAAATTTCTACACAGCATTAGCCCTATCAGGTTTACTTCCAAAAGCAGGATAGCTGATGAATGAATAAATTTGCATCTATGCTATTGCTGGACTTTACTCCTCACCAACTCTACAGCTGCCAGACTTCTGGAGGCTGGCTCTCTTGTCTTTCAAAGTTCACGAGGTTATTCATAGTCATCTTCAATCTTCTCCACCTAAAAGCAGGAAAGAATAGACACAACAGAGAGAGGAGTAATATCAGATTAGTCAGTTAGTCTACTATTATGTGCCAGGTAGTAAGCACTGGGGATACAAAGAAAGGCAAAAAATATTCCTGCTCTCAAAGAGCTCAGAATCTGATGGGGAGACAATATGGAAACAATTGCATATAAACAACATATGTACCGTATGAAATGGGGATAATCTCAGAGAGAAGACACCAAGATTAAGGAGGGCTGGGAAAGGCTTCTTGGAGAAAGTGTGACTTTTGATGAGACTCGAGGAAAGCTAGGCAAGCCAGGTGATATAGATGAAGAAGGAGAGTATCTCAGGCATGGGAGATAGCCAGTGAAAATTCTGGGAGTCAGGACATGGATTGCCATATGTGAGGAACAGCAAAGAGATCAGTGTCACTGTGTTGTAGAGTATGTGAAGGGGAGTAAGGTCTAAGAAAACTAGAAAGGCAAGATGAACTCCAAATGGCCACATGACTTAGACATAAAGGGTAATATCGTAAACAAATTAGTGCAGCAAGGAAGAACCTTGGAGACAATAGAGAATTTATTGAGTAGCAGAGGTGATATGATCATATCTATACTTTAGGAATATTAGTTTGACCACTGAGTAGAGGATGGAGTACAGATTGAATGTGTCCATGCACTCTCAGCTTTATGCCAGCTCTAGGTAAGAGGGGCCCTAAGGTCCCTCCTCCACAAGGAGGTACTCAGAGGCTTTTCCTACCAATACTAGATACAGAATGCCTGCATATGCTCCAAACTGGGGTGGGGGCAGGGAACTTTAATCATCCATCATCATTTCTTTTTAGAAGCAGGCCTCTTTCATCTGGGGCTTTCCCCCTAGTCTACTGCTTTTTAGTTTGGAATCTGCTACTGCTAACTTCCCTTCCTTCATATTTTCATTATTTTCCCTGAGATTCTTGACCTTTTGTTCTTTCAGATGAATTTAAAATTATTTTTCCAGCTTGATAATGTAATCCATTGGTAGTTTTATTGGTATGGCATGGAATAAATAAATAAATTATTATTTTTTTTGTGGCTCAAATTGATATCTCTCCAATTATTTAGGCATCTTTATTTTTAAAGTGTTTTAAAATTACATTCATATACTTCTTTTATGTATCTTGGTAGGTAGACTTTTATATACATTGTAGTTATTTAGAATGCATTTTCTTTTTCTATTTCTTCTTGCTGGGTTTTATAGGTAATATATAAAAAGAGTTCAGGGAAGTGTTGCTAAATGTTTAACGACTGGCTCACCAAAAGAAAAAAAAAGTACATTCAACACACTTTTAAGTTTAATCTGCATTAATATATCTTCTCAATCACTTTCTTAATTCTAGGCAATTAAGAAAGTAGTAAATCAAGCCCTGATTTGTAGCATTTGCTGATTTCTGGGGTGTATATATTAACACTGAAAATTTATCCAATGGGCTCTTAAGAAGTTAGTTTGAGCTCATTCCTGTATGTTCTTTTGCCAGCCTAAAATACCTTATATGTTCTGAAACTATTTTCATAGATTGTGCCACACTCCTATTCATCTTCTGATATCAGGCCAACCTTCCATACTTTTCTTCTTAAAACCTAATTTGGTTGGTGAGTTGGTGGTTTCTCTGTGCAACCCCACAAATCTTATTTTTCCTCTTCAATGGAATTCTCTTTGTGTCTTCAAAATTTCATGCTTGAGCATTTCCCTTCTCTTCTGGGCTGACTTTTCCTCTAGAACTTTAGTTTATGGAATATCCTTCCTATCCTTCCTTTGAACCATTTCAAATCTGCTTTCCTAAAACTTTGAGCACATATCAGATCTTCTTGGATTTCCTCTCCTTCCTAACACAAACTTTAGGAGGAAGTAATCCCTTCCTCCTAGACAACTGTACGATAGGTTGATTAATTTTCATAATTTTCCCCTGAACAACCAGTTCCTTTTTGTGAGTGACAATCAGATCCAGAAAAAAATTTTTCCTTGTTGGTTCCTCTACCTTTTGAAGGATGAAATTATCATCAAGTTAAATCAAGAAGATTTTAAGTGTTCTGTCTTTGACAAAAAGATAGTTCCAGTACATAAAAAAATAATTCAAGTGCCATATTCACTATTGTAGTGAGGGATGTAGTTTATCAGGGCATCATTGATAAATTGGCTTACCCCTAGACTAGATGGTGAAATTACAGAAGATAAAGGAAAGAGACAACAGAATATTAAGTTCTTACACAAAGTCTAAAGACACTCTCTAGTCAAAACTGATGGAATTAGAGAGCAGCTAGTCATTGTCTGGCCAATGATGAGCCATGCCCCCAACGGACCTTTAAAAAGCAAGATATACTTTTTAATTTGGCAGTAGAGGCAGAATGTGGCTCTGAGAAGTATGACCTCTGGCAACAGGGAAGAGAGCCAGTCACAAAAGAATACAGCTCTTGGGGCAGCTAGGTGGTGCAGTGGATAGAACACTGGCCCTGGATTCAGGAGGATCTGAGTTCAAATCCAGCCTCAGACACATAACACTTATTAGCTGTGTGACCCTGGGCAAGTCACTTAACCCTATCGCCTAGCAAAAAAAAAAAAGAACACAGTTCTTGAGAGTAAACTCTTCTTTGTCTCTTGGAAGAAGAAGAACAATAGGCACAAGAATAGTAGTTTTGGATTCTCTCCCAACCCCAGGTCTTACGGCAATTCTTTCCTTGCTCACCATCAGTGAAAAAGAGGCCTTGATTTGACTAGTTAATACTTTTTGTACTCATTTCAGTTCAGTTCAGTTCAGCAGCCAATTGCTTTTCTTCACCATGAAGTAGACAGGAAACAGACTTATAATAGATGCTCTAAAGTGAGATGCAGGGCCTTCCATTCTATGTCATGCCATCTTTCCAGAAGCAGCTCATTGAACCACTCCCTCTCAACCTCACATCACTATTGCTAGCAGGCAGAGTATTTTGTACATGTTCCCCAGGCTGGGCTATAATTTGAAAGATGGATGTGGAACGATACAGATAATGTCAGATTGTTCTGATTCATAGGTCTTTTTTGCTGCACTTTTCCTCCTTTTTATTATTCTTTGTTGCAATGGATAGGTGATATCAAAAGATATCAATTACAATTTTGTTTAAAAATCTTCCTAGAACTGCTTTCAGGACCTTGGGTCAGTTTCCTTAACCTCGGTTTCCCCATCTTTAATAATGAGGTAATTAAATGATTTCTAGAGTATCTTACAGTTTTAAATTTCTATGATACTATGAGAATGTGCTGTTCAAAAATTCTGAATGATTTCCCATTATTTCCAGGATAAAATCCAGTGACTTGGTGAAGTTCATGACCTGAATGAGCCTACCACTGGTCACAATGTCATCTGCTTGTATGAAGGATTTGGGAAAGGGGGGGTGGTATACAAATATTTAAGCATCATTAAAGAAGGAGGTTGTAGAATAGTTACAAATTAATTGGCAACTGGAAGTACTTTGGCATAGAAATAAAGTAGAATCATTTGATTTATGTTTTATGTGATGAAATGCAAGGATTTGGCTGTGGTATGGATAGAGGGGGAGGGATGGAGAGGAGGAGAATGAAAGCGAAATATAGGGTTAGCTATGGGTTAGGTAAGAAGAAGGATGAAAAACTTATTTTTGCTCTGTTCTTTTGCCATGTAAAATTTCACAATTCCATTTGGAAATCAAAGAAAAATACCATTCAACATGTAAAGTTTTATTAGGACAATAGTTTTGCTACAGAGAAAAAGTGGGAGATTTGTGATAGGTTGATGAGAAATGGTTGAGATAGTGGAAGGAAAAAAGGTAGTCATATAATATGCGTATAACTGGTAACTGAAATAATGAAGGCAGATCTCTGGAGGACAGTCTTAGTAAAGGGTTGTGGATTTTGCGTATTCTAAGTGTTAGGGCATGGGTGGGGAACCTGTGGCCTCGAGGCCACATGTGGCGCTCTAGGTTCTCAAGTGTGGTCCTTTGACTGAATCCAAACTTCACAGAACAAATCCCTTTAATAAAAGGATAAAAATAAAAATAAAAGCCTCCCTAAATTAGGGTTAGCATAGTACATGAGAGCAATGGTGTCCAATAAAGGAGGGGCCCAGTAGCCATGGCATGACCAGTGTGTATGATGAGTCAATCAGAGAGTGGAGGGAGGAGTTATATCTTGTCCCATGACAGTCAATCACTGGCTTGTTTCCAGCAGAACTACAAACTCCAGTTACCCATTATGGCTTGACACATCTCCATTTCATCCCTTACAACTATTGACCTCCTGTTGGACTTGAGTATCAGATCCTCAAAGAAATTATAACCTAATCATCTGAGTTGAGCAGCTAGGTAGACAAAATTCCTGCTCAGATCACTTTGTGGCTGTGGCAAGGGCCAGACTCCTTGCTACAAGTTAATGGTCAATGAGTAAGTCCTCTCCCTCCTAAGTAAATTTAGCTGAGAACAAGTCACTTGAACTGGATGAATAGGCATAGATAGACTGCAATTTGTATGAAAGATCTCATTACAATTCTTATTTTTGTTAAGAATGAAAATGGATCTTTACTGGGACTAGTTAACAAATTGTATTCCTCCAACCTTTTCGATCATTTGTTTCTTCAGTAACCAGTCACCCAGATTTGAAACTTTAATTTTATTCTCAACTCCTAATTTTCCCTTATCCCACATATCTAATTAGTTGCCAAATCTTGTCATTTCTGCCTACATAATAGCTCTTGAATCTATCCCCTTCTCTCTACTCACGTAGTCACTACTATAGTTTAGGTCCTCATTACCTTTCACCTGGATTAGTGAAATAGCTTCCTGATTAGTTTTCCTGATCATCTGCACAGCTGACAAAATGATTTTCCTAAAACAAGGCTTAACGATGTCACTCTCTTACTCAATAAACTCCAGTGGCCCCTCTTGACTCTGGGATTGAATGTTATTTCATTTTTATCACATCTTTTTCATTTCTACTTTTTATGATGAACACCATTGAATATGATTGT